GCAATGAAGCTTGGCTGGTGACAGTTGGATGGGGGGAGAAAAAAGGTGACTGCTGGGTAGAATTGCTCTCTCCTTCATATTATTTTGATGCATATAAATAGATGTTCTAAGTATGGAACATATTTTCTATACAACTCAAAACAAGTGTGGAAGTTGGACAAGGGAGAGAAATCAGCTCCTTGTGCTCTTAGAGAGTTTTCATAATGAGGTACTACCAATGCCACTTCCCTGCTCTGTTTGGCCTTTGTGCCAGAATAATTAATGTTGTTTTGATAATTGGGACAGGGGTGCAATATTCTTCCCAAAGTATTGTGATCTTCGTCTTATTTCTGTGGATTTCCTTGCAAAATAATGTGAGGCCTGGGAAAATTAAGCAAAGTATTTGGAGGTAAGAACAGTCGCAAACAGTCTGTACTTGTCAGCAGGCCTTGCAGTTAGATATCCTGCTAGATCTATCCATTATATATCCATTGTATAGATGCATTAGGTGACGGTATCTGCAGGAACCCTTCCTTTTTTGGTGCAAGGCTAACAGCACTGTCTGTGCAACTAGACAGGTCTGAAGTCCTGTCATGTTCAAGGCTTTCAGAAAATAGGATGTGGGCAAGCTCAAAACTCTTGTCTTTCTGTACTCTTCCCACCTAGGTGACCATGTTTTCAGGTATAGCACCTATTTATACAGATTAATTCCAAAATTTTTCCTGTGATGGTGCAGAAAGGTTGTTTTCACTGAAATGCGCAATGCTATGTGAGAGCTGCCGCAGGAGCTCAGGCATTGGTCTGAATTTCTTCTTCAGCGTGGGTTGGAGCACATCTGTTTTCCTTAAAAAGCCAAATGCCACCATCTCAATTTGAAGGGCTTTGTTTCTAATCTTTCTGCCGTTAAGAACGGGTATAATGCAAGGGAACAAAAACAATCTCTGGAGCTCTAATGCAGCCTGATGCGCCTCCGTGAAGCATTCAAATACCATGAGTTCCACACAAATGACTATAAATAATTGCCTAGGTTGGCCTGACCTCAGGTTGTCTGAGAAGATGATCTGATAATGGCACGAGTGACTCTGATTCTGTTCTGAAGCAGAGATCCCATTTAGGATTACACTTATTTGAACTCTCTGTAATTTAAGAAGGAAGCTTTCTGCCTACGCCAGTATTGGAAGCACAGTCTGAACTCAGGGGTCAGTGATGTGGCAGTTGAAATCATCATGAAATAAGTCACTTGGGACATGAATTTAAGTAAAACCAAAAACTTACTTGGTCCAAGCCCAGACTCAATCCCAGATCTTACCTTGACAGCACAGTTGTTTGCCCTTGTCTCTCAGCCCTGGTCATCCTAGCCCAGTTTGATATTAACTGCTTTGCAGACTGAGGCAGATAAGTTTGCAGAACCACTGATATGGAGCTTGGCACGTTTGGACGAGCAGCTTGCAGAAACCAAGTTAGGTACCACCTTTCTGCCCAGAAGCCTCCTTGCCTGGTTTCCCTTTCAGTGGCAAGTGGTGGACATTGTATTCCAAGAATTATCCCATTTCATGGAAAGCTGTCCAAGAACCAGCTCACTATTAACCAAAGCAGCCTTTATTACTAGTCTGCTTTCATTCCTTAGTCCTTTTTTGACAAATTGTAAAGAGCAAAACAAAACTTTTTTTTCTGGTAGTGTTTTGCAGAATGCTTAGTACTAGCAATAGTCTCATTACCTCCAATCAGTACAGCCCCAAAGACTTAGAACTCATAGCAGTTCTTCAACCATGATCTTGATGATACAGAAAAATAGAAAAACGAAACAGTTTGTTTTTTGACCTGTTAAAATAGTCACAACTAGTAAGATGTACAACTGGTCATTATGAACAGAGCTACCAAAATTTCATAAACAATGTATTCCCCAAAATGTATTCTGTCTTCAGAAACAGAAAAGAGTCTAAAAGAGAAGAAGTCAAGAAAAAATAACAATTGGCAGTATCTTCTTAAAACAGCTATGTCTGACTTGCTATATGTGATTGTCCCAAATTCTTCGGGTTTTACAGCAAAAAGGTATTTCAGAATGCTGTAGAATGCTATCACTTGGAAACTGTGTTGAATGTTCTGATGAGAGGAACACAAATCCCTTCAAAATGGCTTACAACCTGGCAAAAAAATGGGAGCTGATGCAGCCAGGACAGGTGTTTACTGTTGCTGCTGGTAGAATATATGGGGCGAGGGGGAAGTTTGGGAAGTCCCTATCTTAAGATAAATAACTCCCTGTGGGTAGATGGTCTATAAAGATTTACTGTGACCTCATTAGGCCAGAGTGTTACTGTATAGTTTTGTTACTAGTACCGTTTGACAATCTTTAAACCTTATACAAGACTGGAAGAAATCTCCAGAGAGATCTAGTGTTATTTTATTTCTTCCCAAATGGTTGTAAAAACAATATAATGTTACTGTTTGAGGAATCTCCAAAGAAGCATGAGAATCTAATACTTCAACACCAATGCCTTTTCTGAAAAACAGTTTAGTATCCCTAAATCATAACTCCAGTTATCCTTTCTCTCCTTCTTAGCCAAGAGCAATTCATTCAGGGATATGATATGTATTTGGGAAAGTTTTAGGGCCAACATGACTTAAATTGTCAATAGTGATAATATGAATCATAAGTGAATCAGTCTGTACTATCATATATTGAACCATATAGTGGGAATGGAGATTTAAATAGGAAGACTACATGACGTGGACAGTTTCATAGGTGTTAGAAGGGTGACAGGTAGGGCATCCAGAGGCCAGATTTTAGCTTGTTATATAGGATGTTATTTGCAATGCATTGTAACCTGTTAGTTGAGGTTTTCCCAATACCTGTTAGGCTTGGTCATGTCTTCCATTGAATGTAATGGGCGATAAGTTTAAATACCATGGATTTAGGAAAAATAAAAATATTAAGATACTTTGGATCGTTACCAAAGCATATGTTAATACATTTGTGTGAGGATAAAGAGAAGGCAGGTGAGATCTGCTGTGTGGAAAGGCAGGCTTCCAAGAGCATTAACATTTTATTTTAAGAGATGAATAAAAGCTTCAGAATGGCTCTAGACTTGGCAGGTAAGGGTTGTTATGCTTCATCTTGCCTCTTGGCCAGAGAGCTCACTAAGTGGGAGCTTGCCAGATACGGCAGTCTTCCCCACTACCTGAATTTAATTTAAACCATTTTGTGCAGCCCTGATTTTAATCCTTTCATTTTGGTTTTGAGTTACCGCATATATGGCACAATGGAAATATTTTTTTTAAACTCAAATTAGAAACATATTTCAGGAGACAAAAAGAAGTGCCTGTCTGCAATGCAGAATGAAACATCTCTAGATGAAATATAACCATGGTAACATTTTGCTTGAAATGTTTGGTTATCAGTAGAGAAGTGTGGGGTAGTTGTGTTGTACTTTTTGCTTCCCCACCTCCTTTCAGTTTATAAAAATTGCATTAAACTTCCTTCAGACTGGCCAAATCTTGTAATATCGCAAAGAAAATGTGCTTTTGAAATAACTTGGGACACAAGTATGATGTGCCAAAGGTAAATATTAATGTCATTTTTTAAACTATATTTTTATGGGTATTTTAAAATGTCAGATTGCTTCTCTGGCCAAATTATTGAAGAGTAAACATAATACAAGCACCCACACTTTAGATTTTGCATCTGAAATACTGTTTTTTTTCCATGTTGAGACTTTTTTTTTCCTTCACATAAGTGGTGGCAACAGTGCTGTCCTCTTGGTTTCCAGGATGTGCCATCAACTTGTGCTCTAAAAACAGAGCAGTATAAACTCTCCAAAAATTTGAATCCAAGTAAAAACTGTGGGAAGAGGAGAAGAGTGGTTGCCCAGGCCAGGCTTGTTTTTGCCACAGAGCTTGGTATGCTATGTAGACAGAGAAGAAAGTTGATTTTGCAGTACTGCCATGGGCTTCTCATAAGGAGGCTGGAAAACAAGATCCTTTACAAAACTACTACAGGGTATTATCAAGAAGATCCATGAAATAATCTTTTTATTCTGGTAGAGCTGGAAAGTTTGCTTAGGCATAGTGCGTCCTGTTCTGAAAAACATAATGGAATTCTGTATCCAATAAGTAGCTATTGGTGATTCACTGTCAAAAAATGGAAAGCTATTTTGGGTGGGAATTCAGAGCTATTTGATACAGTCATCAGAGACATGGATAGAAGTAGAGAGTACAGATTAGATTTGCAGATGATACGAAACTAATGGGACTTCAAGTACATTATGGGACAGGATTTGGTTTGAAAATTTTCTCTTGGATAAGATCTGAGGAAACATGAGGCTTCTGGTTAGTGAGGGCCTTGTCATAGACCGGAATCATCTGTAGCATGAACAGCGGCAAGGGCGACGGGGGAGCGGTGACCACCCCGTCACCCTTGTGTCACACAGGATCATGCTCTCGGGAAGAAAAGCACATGCTGTGCTGGAGGAACAGGGTATTATTGCTTGGGTCCATGAAGTGATTCCAGTAGCCTTGGAAGGCTTTGTCAAGCATAGCGTGTCCTGCTCTGGACACTGTGTTTCACAAGGGAGGAGTCCCAAGGGGAGTGAGTTGGGCACAGGAATACATATAGGTCTACAGATGTCATCTGCCATCTATTTGGCTGAGATAATGCTCATGGACTTGTTAGAAATATTCCTAGGATTGACAAAAGCAAGGCTTTTTTTTCAAATTTGCTTTACCAGACCTTTACCTGGCATTTCAAACATGCCAGATGCTGAGTTGCTGGTGTAAAGGCCTGTGCCAATATGATTTGTACATAACCATTCTTAAGGCTTGCACGCTGGCAGCGGGATGTGAAAACAGCAAGGCGTAGCTGCTCTGCAGTTGCAGTTTGAGTATCAGCACTTGGTATTTTGAAGGATCATTTAGGACTACGTCTGAAAAAATGTGCCTGTGTGTCTTGTCTGTGTGCGCGTAGCAAAATACTCTGTTGTGCCCAGGCCTTGTGCAGCATAAGCCATGGTACCGGCTTGGGCGCCATGTCGCCTGTGGGCCGTGGTCAGGAAGAGCATCTGGCACGATTGTGGCTGGAGACAGAGCAGCAGGAAAGGGAGGAAGGGGCAGGCAGGGTGTTGCTGTGAGTAAAGCTGACCTGGGGGCCACCTGCCTAGGCCAAGGAGGCCAGTTAGCGCCTGGCTGATCCTTCCCTTTCGGGTGTTCCCAGCCAGGCGGGAGCCCTGGGCTGCTCGCACCCCTTCCCACAGCCTCCGAGCAGCGAGGGGCTTCTGCTTAGGCCTGGCAGGGAATCATTCAGTAAGCTGTAGGGAGGGAGGATTTTCCTGGTTACTTGATATGTAATTCTTGAAGTGAAAAGAACAGGCCATTCAGTGGGCAAGACCACCTTGTCCCAGTGCATTTAAAAAGGAAAAAAAAGAGTTGAGACTAGTGTTTAAATGATAGGTTAGTGTAATGGCCACTCTCAAGGCCCCAGCCATGGGACTAGGCCTGGGCAGGTGGGCTGTCCTGGGACATCCAGGCCCCTGTTTTTAAGCTGGAGCCCTAGGTTCTTTATGACAAACCTGAGCAAAGCCTACGTGGCAGTACATACAAAAACTATAACTGAGATTGGTTATGTATTTGTCTCCATTGTATACCATAGAGTGCTAACACTTTACTGCTTCACTCAACCAGTAAATGTACCAGTAATCTGTATTTTAGAATTAGGTAAAAATGTTGTATCTGAGTGCCTGCACAGTGGACACAATTTTTATGCCAAAAGCTTATGGCAAATTTACAAACTTATTACTTAGAGTTAAGACTTATTAGAGTTGCTCTTCTATAGTATATTGTTAAAAATGTAAAATGGATAGCTAACTGTTTTGTAATATGCTTGGTAAGTAGTGTATGGTTCAGTGAGGAATACTGTGTGGTACCAACTAGATCTGTGCAATTAAGGAGGAAAAAAAATGCTGTGTGTGTCAAATTATGTAAACTTCATTACTAAGCACCTCAAGGCAAATTACTTACTAATGATCTAAAATTTCTCTTTTCTGAAAAAAGTGTGTATTTGTTTATTATGCAGAAATCCTTGTCGTGGCTGAGAAACCTCTCAGAAAGCACAAGTCATGTATGTTCTCGAGGAAGGATGTGACATGTTGTGCAAGGCATGAAATGCGCTCAGCTGGCTGCCTCCAGTGACCCTGAGCCCCTGTCAGGTAGGAAGGAGCTCAGTTTTGTCGAGATCTGTAATAAGTTTCACATGAATTGATCAAAATCTGACACTGGTAGTTTATCCCTATTGGAATTTAACTTGCACAGAATATTCTACTTGAATGTTGCTAGTTGTTACCTGACAAATAATGGAGTTAATTCTAGGAGAAGTTGTTTTCTTGAAAATCTAAAAGAGAAATTTAGTAGTTCAAGGAGGCAGTTAATAGTCCTAAACTATACTCTGCTTTCCAAAACATCTGTCATCAACCCAGTCTCATCTTCCTTGTAGCTTTAAAGTAAGTATTTTTTTTGTCCTAGTCCTACATATCTATATTTCTACTCTGCAATTGGCCATAGTTCAAGAAAACAAAACAGCACATGTCCCCAGAATCATGGCGTTCATCTGAATTGTGTTTTAATCCAACATTTTTAGTGTGTTTTTATTGTCCTGTACTTTTAAGTTTTTTATGTCTAACCACAAAGGGCTAAAAACTTCCACGTTTTAAGTGAAATAACTGAGGATTTGTAGCATTGAAGTTGCAGCCTTCTCTGACTCCAAGATTTCTCAGAAGTACCAGAGATAGCTTAAATGAATTAAGAAATAGCTTACTAAAGTCCAGACGAGTGTTCTTTGGTAGGAGTGAAAGGCGTAGGGCTGCCCAGTTTGGGAAGAGGGTATAGAGCACAGGTGTGTGCTACCAAGACCAGGAATGTGAATGCACCATCGGTACATTAAAACAACTCAATTTTCCCTGTTTCTGTCCCTGACTGCCCTCAGGAGAACTGCAGGAGAGACAAGGGAGCGAGTAACTTACTTGTTTTTCTCCTTTTTTTTTTTTTTTTTTTTTTTTTTAAAAAAAAAAAAATCTGCAGCCTGACATTGAGAGTACAGCTGGGCTGGCTGCAAATGGTGGGCGGCTTTGTTTGGTTCTCTGTTTCCTTATCACTGTTTTGAAAGTGAGTTAAAAGAGAGAAAACATTGTGCTTTGCTTCTGGTATTTTCATCACTGATCATAATTTTCACTTGGTTTAAGTGCCCGCTGTTTGTAGCCACCCTAGGCCTATCCTTACCACTCTCTGAGAGCACCTGAAAGCGTGGGCGGGAGATGCTCAAAAATCACCTTTCATAAATTAAAATAAAATCTCTCTGAGCTGACTTCTGTTGTCTTCCCTTTATAAGCTGCCTTGAATGTTATAGGTTAAGTTATAGTGTAAGTTATGAACTGATGCTCAGTGATTTGTCCCAAATGCTTGTGGTGACTTTTTTCCTCCAGTCCTTATTGTGGCGGAGCTGCGAGATGCATAGGGAGGGAAGTGTTTGCTTTTTTTCTTTGTTATTTTCCTTAGTGCTTTAAATGCTTCCCCTGAAGTTTCAAAGGAAGCACAAGCTTACATAAAGGAGACTTCAACTTCAGGTTGGCAGGATTTGATTCGTTATTTCAATTAGTGATGTGTTATTTTCACTATTTCAGCAAGGACGTAATTATTGATCTTGAAGGTGTATCAATCTGCCAGTAATTTGACAGGGACACATGTGTTAATGCACATGTATTGAAATGTCTGTGCTGTGGTTTTGTATCTGAAAATAGGTTGCTGTTTGTCTTTCATGACACTGTCAAAATACTTCGATTAGAAATAAGTGTAATCTGTGTTTTGCCACCATACTGTCCTTATTTTTTCCTGCACTGTATTTTTGTAAGTTGTTCTGTTCTCAATATAAACCCGCTGGGTCCGTCTTCCCCCTAACCTCTCAGGACATAGCCTGTGAGGGGGAAGTGTTTAAAAATAATTGCAGCTATGCTAGAGCAGCCTGTATCCTTTCTATAGAGTGACTGACATCCCGCTTCTGGGTTCACAAAGTGGTCAAGAAAGGATCAGTAAAAACATCTACTGATTCTGAAGGACAGGCATGGGCTTTTTTTCCTCTTTCCTTTAAAGGGAAAATGTTACTTTTCAAGCAGGAGTAAGTTTTCAGGCTTTGGGCAAGCCTAAGTGAGGCTCTTATTAAAATGAATAGGATTCTGTGCTGTGAAGAACTGCCTGACTCCTTAAAATGTTGTGTTCTGAGCAAGCCTGTTGTGCTCCTGTAGCCCCAGGCTGGAGCCTGGGTGCCCTGGGCCTGCATGGGAGCAGGACCCAAGGCAGGGAGGGGAGTCCCCGTTGTTATCCCCACCTTGGGGCCGGTGCTGCTCCCCAGGACGAGCTCCAGCCTGGCCACGGGACGCGGGGCGGCCGCGCCGAGAGCTGCGTGGGGCCAGGGACCGCGTGGCCCTGCTGGGGACCGGCCTGCGCCTCGCTTGGCTTCCTGTCCCCCCTGCGATTTTGAAGCAACGTCGAGGGAAGCTTGGGAGATCTTGCAAGCCCTCCTTCGAAACCGCTGCTGGGTTGTTGGTAAAAGTAGTGGTATTTTGAATACATGCACATGCGATTGGAAAGCCATTAGTTATGTTTTTCTGCTTTCCTCTCATCTAACAAAGCCAGAGCTTCTTATAAATTGATATCTGCTAGGAACAGTATTTGACGCTTTCCAAATTTTTGGCTGGCTTTTGGAGGACTAAATCTTGAAATAATCATTTCTTTTTAAATAGAATGCATTTCTTTTTTTCTTGGCATATAAGATTGAAGGTGGAAAATAACACACTTTTTCCCTCAGCACTGGCTGTGTTTGGATAGAGTTATGCAAAACCTCTCATGGCTTTACCAGTATGTTATTTCCTCCTTGAACGCTAGTAGATTTTTCTGGCTGTATAGCTCCTTTTCCTATTTGAAACAGAAACTGTCTCGGAGCTTGGAATTTTCTTAATGCATTTACTTTGTTTACAGAATATATATACGTTCTTGGGAAGGACCATAAAAGCATAGGCTCTTATAGAAATGTCTCATTAGGCACCTCTCCCTGCCTTTCGGATGCGTTTTCTGCCGGCTCTTTTCAGCCCTCTTCCATCCTCACTGTTTCACTGATGCCCCCTTCTGCCCTTCTTGCCTCATACCAGGGACGTTCTTATTTCAGCACTGTGCAGATGCTGTGCTGCCTTGCGAGTGTGATCTGGCCTTGATGGCTGCTTGGTGCTGTCTGGGACAGGGCCATCCCTGTTGTTTCTGCACTGCTGTTTCCTTTGTGTTTAAACCACTAACACTTTCTGTAAGTAGGAACCGTGTGAACGTGCTAGAAATGCCCTCAGCAGAGAATGTGCAATTTATCTCTTTATCCTATGCCAAGTACACAAGCAGAACAGCTCTGAAAATAATATTTTGCTACTCTTAGTTGTGTGCTCTGCAGGGAATTTTAATTCCATGTATCATATCTGAAATAAACTTCTGCTTCCCACCCTTTTGACTCCCAAAAAGGGATTTGCAGAGTTTAGATTAGTCTCTACAGTTCTTGCTCCCTTATTCCTTCCATTTCCAACACACCCCTGAGCACAGTGCAGGAGTCCACGTACCCTTGCGCTCGGAGAGCTTTTGTTTGCTGGCCCGTGTCTGTGCCGGGCCTCTCGTCCCCTCAGCGCGCAGCAGCAAGAGCCTTCCCAGACACGCTCTCCCCCTTGCCAGAGGGATCCAGCTGGGGAGACGAGCACGCCGCTCTGATCCGCGCGCTCCGCCGGTGCTGCCCTTGAGCAATCGGCTCTTGCTGGCGGCGTTTCTGCAGCCCACGCTCTGCTAGGAAATAAGTGAAACCATCGGTTTGCCTCATAAATCACCCATTTGTAATTGGTTTGTGGGGATGTGACCGTGGCACTAAATGACTTCAGACCTGCCCTTAGAAACGTGTTCAGGAACGGCTCTTCTGCCAGGCATCCCTGTGGGAATGCTATTAGTGTACGTAGCACACCAGGGGCTGCTTGAGCAAGGATCGGGAACAGCCACTCTGGGAAAAGTCCACACTCGGGTAAGTCCTCACTTTCTGAGGTTGTCATCCCCAGGGGA